CGCCGAACCACAATGCGCACCAAACGGTGACTTTTTGGGAATGGAGTCATATAGGTCTGGGACGTTCGGACCTATGTGGGACCCGAAATGGACGTCCTGGGTACCTCTTGTGCTATCTGGGCTGTTGTTACTCATTCACAAGATCGCATTATGTTTCAAAATCAATTAATACAAGATTATTTAGCGAATTTATAAAATTTAATGTGAATAATATTTTTGAGATTTTATTTAATTTATAGGGACTTATTTAAAATTAAAATAAAATAAATAGTCACTTCTTGTTTATTATTATAATACAAATATTATTTTTTTCTTTTTCTTCTAAAATTTTTAAATCCGAAAGAGTCGTTTCTTTTACATCATTTTTATTGTTAATTTCCTGCTCTAATTGTTTCAGCCCTATCTGTCTCTTTGTTTTCAATGACACCCTTGTATCCACAAGATTAATTTGAGGAGCGCCCCCTTTTTTTTCAGGTTCGGTATCCATATTATTCTCTCTTGCCATCAACTGAATCGGTAGTACATGAAATAAAATCGAACCACAGATGATAAAGATCTTTATCATCTTTATCATCGAATCGAACCACAGATTATAAAGAATCGAACTCTTAACGTCAAAATATATTTGCGTCACAATTAAGTGTGAAGTTAGTTAGCACCAATCTTTTCCATTTTTTAGTCAAATTCCTTAGATCTCTAGTTAAATTTTAAACCATAGTTAAAAAATCACGGTGCAAGATTTTGTATACTAATCCCCTGTTACCTTTTAACTTGGCAGTTAATTTAACTGATCAGTTAGAGAAAACGGTGCAAGTGGCCATAAGAGACGTATAACCAGCCCCATTACCTCATCACTCCCGGACCCCGCATAGGCCTCTGTTACCTTACTCCGATTTTTTTCCGCCACCAGCACCGACACGGCTTCGCCCGTGCTTGCTGGGTGCGAATGTCCATTGCGTCCCGTACTGTACATTATTTGGGTCTCGAGAGTGAAATGCCAATAGTATTAATAGCCATTCCTGGGTTCGCCGGGCCGATGCTATACGCCCAGTAGGATCATGAAGGAGGTAGGACGGGAGGGATAGTCAGTACTCCAAACATTTGGGATTACTGTTTGGAGTTGGGGAGTTGTTAGTTCGCCGCAGGGGCCTAGTTTACTGGTCGTGGTCAACTTCTTGGCCGTTATTGTCTCTGTCCGTGACGGGTTGTTCCTGCACTTGATATTGTCTTGTCTCGACTGTTTTCTTCCGGGTTGCAATCCTATCTTTATATTAAACAGTTGGTGTGCAATTGATGCGATTAGACACCGGTGGAAGGTATTTATTTGACTTCCACTGTATACTAATGTAATTACCAATTCCATTAGAATTCGGTTTGTGTGTTTGTTTTCTTAATTTAATGTTCGTTTGGATTTAAAGTGTTTATTTGGTGTCGTATTGTTTGTTGAGGCCGTTTTCTTTAATTTATGGGTTTTTTAGTCTTGGTCGTTTGTTATTGATATATTTATTGTCGTCAGCTTTCCTGCGACTGAGTTAAGAGTTGGGGCGGTTTTGTTTTGTTTTTTGTTGTTGTTGTTTTGTTACTATTGTCTTAATGTTACTGGTGCATTTGTTTATTTTTATTTTGTTATTTTTTTGGTTAGTTTTTCTCATGATTAAGCAAAAAGTTCCTCATTTAGGGTTTTTCAAGGTACCTGTCATGGTAGCAAATAATGTATTAGGTCATGCAGATATTTAAGGTTGCTTATGGGAATTGCAGATTGGCCTTTTCTCCCTTGGTTATCATCTTTTGTTTGTCTTGTGAAAAGCATCCAGATGCGTGGCTAGACCGCGGTCGACCACCCGTACTGTGTCACTCTACACCTCCACTTCATCACTTCCCTGACCATAGGGTTATTAATAATAAAATAATAATAATAATAATAATAATAATAATAATAATAATAATAATAATAATAATAATAATAATAATAATAATAATAATAATAATAATAATAATAATCAACAATTTTTACCAGCAAAATTTAATTTAAAAAAACCTAAAACGTATACCACAAGATTATCAGACTTTCCATATGGCCACCACTAGGCCATTTTTGTTAAGTAAATAAAGGCAATAAAGTAGACATTACACAATTTCTTCAATACAAAATCCGAGTCAAAATCATTTAAGATTAGTTCGTGTGAAGAATTTGTGTACCTTTACATTAGTTACGATCATGTCTAATGAGCTGGAGGTAAAAATCAATGAATGGGGATTCTCTGAATATGTGGATATTTTTAAACGTAGGTATTCAGGCCAATTCACTAACATGAGTCGTTAACGTTAGCAACTAGAATCAGTAATTATCGGCCGATTCGGCCAATCAGGTCGATTGAATATACGGATAACCACTAGTTCGAGTGGCTAACGTTAACGACTCATGTTAGTGAATTGGCCTGATTGTATTGTTTTTATATTTAATGGATTCATGTGCAAGTTTGTAGTAGACATAAAAGCTGAAATCCGGATACATCTTAAGTAAAATAAGTGGACTCGATGATGAAAATATAACATAAGGTAGGCAATTTTACTTCGTATTGAAACATAATTGTAGTGTTCTCTTTCTTAAAGAAGTGAGAACCACAAGGATTTTAATTCTTTTGGCACATTTATTGTCTACACACACTTTAAAACACAAGCGGCCACAGTGTTGGTGGCCGTTTAAGATTTATTATTCACAATGAGGTATGAGCTTTTAACAGTAGGTAGCTTTTATTTTATCTTATTACGTAGGTAAGTAAGTGCGTTCTTTTCGCCTGAGATCAGAAGAAATCAGTTACAATACCTGTGCAGGTGAATTCAATGTACCAGTCTCCCGAAGAAACCAAAGAGAGGGTTAATATAAATCGGTACAAACACACCTCTAAAAGTCTTTACTGAAATAAAGCTAAGGCTTACGCACAGTGGGACAAATAATTTGTATCTATAGATACAGTATAATTATACCTACTTACTTTCCTTTACAAATAATTTTTGCATGATTTGTTATAAACGAAAAAGACACATCACATCACATTGCCGACTACCGAAAACTTCCTATCGATGGTTCTCGACCCTAGACTGAATAAATGGTTTCGCACAATTGCAGTGCCCGAATTTTCAGTAAAAGTAATTTTCAGCAGACACGGATGCAAACGAACATATAGTACTTCAAGACCATCAAGGATATGTCCAAGCAACGAACTAACCACCCAAACCCATTGATGAACCCCAGTTGAATGGTGATAGTCCTTAATCCCTGGTTTAGGGGGATTTCGGATTGTACTTAGTTTTGGGTCAGTCCAATGTCCCCCAAAAACCCCTCCTTGTCCCGCACTCCACTAGCCTAAATCGGGAGTATGGCGACAAAATTCCGGGAGGGGCCTTAATTATAACATAACCATGTAACATTTTTTTTTGTAAGAACAGAACATAAATCGAAATATTGTATTATGTAATATAACAAGATTGCAATTGGGCAGGAAGACGTAAGTCGTTAGCCATTTGGATTTTCCAATAAAGTTTATTATTATTATTATTGTTATTAAAAAAATTAAAAAAATATTATCACATTTTATTATTCTCATATACAAAAAATAAAAAAATAAAACAAAACATTTACCTATATTAAATAACATATAGAAAGTAATAATAAAAAATATTGTCTTAAGAAAAAAGGTAAAAAACTTGTTTTTGTCTTTTTTTTCATAATACAGAAAATAAATTATAATTAAAAAATTTCAAAAAATATCTTATTAGGCCAAGAAAGTTAGAGTTTTGATTGGTGCGGTATACCCCGGTAACGAGAATAATTTTTTTGTATTCTTTATTATTATTTATGTTAAAATATATTAAAAACGTACATATATGTACGTTTTTAATATATTTTAATATAAATAATAATAAAGAGTATACTTCTAAAGTTTAAATAAAACAATAATATTTAAATAAAATAGCAACTTATTAAAAAATTAATTAAACATTGGTAAATTTAAAAAGAGATCAACAAAAGAAAAACTTGTTAAAAGTGAAACAATTTTTTTTTAACTTAAACAATATTTACAATTTAATAAATTTACCATTTAAAAATGTCTTAATTTATTCATAAGTTATTACTTTTTTTTTAAGTTTTTTTTTTTGATTTTATACTTGTGTCAGGATGTTATGGATAAATTCCAAAATTCCAAAGAACTATTAATTGGGTATTTTAAATTTAGAACAAAATATAGTCCAAACATTAACTAAAAAGCTTGCACATTGAAGCAATATTTTTTTCAATACAAATATAAAGTTCATCAGCTGCAATAGAAAAATATGTAAATAAGGTTAAAGGTATTTTTTTTGATAATTTGGAGACACCCGCCCCCTTGGTGAGATTTTGTAAGATATGGTAGACCCCCTCTATCCCTTACGTGAGATTCTAGCCATGAAACTCTTTGCGGACAACGTCATAAACCCTAAAAAACGTAAAAAAATGATTAATTATACATTATTATTATTATACATATTCTTTAAACACAAAAGTTGACGTGAAATTTGACCCCCCTCCCTTACAATGAGATTTAGTGAGATTTTGCTAGACCTCTCCCCCCATTTTTATCTCCCGTAATTAATGGATGCCCCCGTATTACTAAATAGAGAATAATATTTCGCCTCAAATGTTTTAAAAATATTCATTTTAGCTATTATTGAAAATGATAAAATGAATGTTTACAGATATGTACCTATATTAAAAAAAAAAATTAAAAGCTCATTCGACTGGTTTGTATTGCCACAAGTTTTCATACTTTTTTGGTGAAAAAACTATAACAATAAGAATTTTTCAAGGAATAGTAAACTCGTACAAAAACAATTTTGTGCAACAGTAGCTACAAGTAAATTCGGCAACAATCGGGAAGCCCCGCAGGCTCCTCCACTATGCTCGATAGAACATCGCCAATCCTGTATGCACGAATCAAACCAAAACCTAAGCTAAACCCAGTGCGGCACATGATTGTGGCAAGTGCGGTAGGTCTTCATCAGCTAATTTTACATAAAATTAAACTAAAACCAATTTTTACAATTTGAATTGAAATAAGTGATATTGTGCCCATTAGTGCGCATCTAAAATAACAAAAAACCTATAGGGCATCAGTGAGCAAAACTGATTTTGTCTTGCTAGAATCCACAAGTTGTTTTGGGTAGTTATGGGTACAGAATACAAGGATGGAGAAGTGAACATGGAAGATTCGGGTAATAGTTGTGGAAGCAGTGTCGTTTCAGATTTTAGTGGCCCATCGGATCACACCGACTTCGACGGGGACAATGTGCAAATTTCCGATCTTGAGGGCGAGAACGACTCGCATATCCTACAGGTTGGTATTTATCCAAATCAATAGTTTTTCTTTTTACCACAATTCCCTTTAAAAATTCACTTTTTCAAAACCAAGTTAAAGAAAAATTACTTAAAAGCAACAAAAAATATATTGACGCAAAAATGTTTTTATTCTTTTAAACTAAAGAACACCTGCATATGTTCCGTTTTTATACACAGCCAAATGTGACTTGCCGTTTAACGACAATAATGAAAATTGTTTTAAAAGAAATATTGCAATTATTTTTATAAGCAATAGGTAAGCAATTAAATACTTAACTCTCATTATAATTACAAAAATTGTTTAAATTATTTAATATAAAACTGATAAAAAGTTAATTATTAATAATTATCATCATACCCATATGCACTGTTCCATTTAATTAATGCAATTTAAACAAATAAATAAATAAAATTACATGTATCTTTAACAAAATATTTTTTAATTTTATTGGTGTTAAAGTAATGAGTTTTATAATATTATATCTTATTCTAGCAATTTTTAACCATAATTATTTCATATTACAAAAATAAAAACATTAAACTTAAACCATTAGATTAATATGTACTTATAGGTATGTATGCAAAAAACACTTTTAGATAAACATGGAAAAAAACAATTTTATTCATACACCTACGGTGTTTTAATGTATAGAGTATTAATTTAGCATTTGTCAATGAATATAGGTAGGTATACCTACATACCTATAAGATCATGAAAATTACCTTGAGAAAAAGTCGGAAAAAGTATTAAGAATAATTTCATTTTAATGTTTTATTACGCAGAATTATAAAGGTTATTCATCTTTCAATATATTTTTAAACGGTGCAATTGTATCAATTTAAATTAAAAACGTTAATCTACCTAAACTTAAACCTAAGCGCAATTCGCCATGTAGACACATTCCTTTTTAGACTTAAGTAGATATTCTTTAAATAAGTGCACAATTTGACGTAAATAAAATCGAATGGATTTTTTTTGCCGTTATCCAATTTAAATCACGTGTTCCATGTTCACGTCATAACAAACTGTAAGAAAAACATAAAAAGTCTGCTATTAAATTATTGGATTAGGCTAACCTAAGGTAAATAAATACCTACTTAAAAGCGATTCAAAATATTTAGATAGGTACTGAAATGAGGTATATATCAAAAATCAAGTTTGATGACCAAACAAATAAAATTGTAAAATAATTTTAATAATTATTATTGTTGACCGCATTTTTTTATAGTACAAATAGGTTAAAAATATAATTTCGTAGGTATTCTTGAATAATAATATCTATAAATGTCAAAAATATCGTTATCGTGTTATTAAATGTTTTTTGTTGTTGGGGACAAACATTTTTGTTATTGATTGCATTTAAATATTTAAATATATATATATATATATATATATATATATATTTTATTTTTTAAATATTGGAGCGTAACTATACACAATTAAATTAACAAGCACATGACGTGCCGGTAGTCAATTACGTCACTCGGTAGTCTGTCTCCTATCTCTAAAATTAAACTAATACTCTGTTGCCATGGGCCAAATACTAGTTTTGTCTATTATTAGAAGGATATACTTTGCGGCATGGCACAGTTTTTTATTCTTTACACTGTTCGAATGTATAAAGATGCCAGGTTTACTTTCGTTTTCTTTAACAATGCTTAATCGTAAAAAAAGGTGACACAATAACCTTTATATTGCGATATACCGGGTATTATTTGTATGCAATCCAATGTTTCAGGTGTGCACTGGCTGAATTATAATTTTATTCAATACTTTCATTGCTTTTTGGATTAATGATCTTTAACTTTGTCAACCGATACATTGCCCACAAACATTATAAATACAAGTAAAACTATAAAATCACACAGCTTTAAATTCGTACAGTTCTTATGTCTAAGGGGTCGTCCATTAAGAACGTCACCATTTTTTTTGGATTTCAGACACCCCCTTCCCCCAAGGTCATACGTTACACTAAGATTTTTTTTAATGTTTGTTTTATATAAGTCTAATAACATTTTTAGTAGAGCATAATATGTATTGGCGTAACGCACGATAGGATCCTCCCCCATGTAACACTTTGTCACAAACGCAAAACACCATCCCCCTAAACGTGTGACGTACTTTATGGACGACCCCTTGCCAAAAAAATGAGTACACATATTTATATTGATATACAGGGTATAAAGTATAAAGGTGTTTTTTTAGTGAGTTCAAACTTTAAATTAAATTAAACAAGAACCAAATCAGATGTTTTAAAAATATTCATTTTAGGCGAGGGGTCCACCACCCAAAGAAAAAACGTCCAGGGATTCCCATAAATTCCCATTGTATTCCTATGTATTCCCATTGTGTTCCTATGTTATTCCCCCTCTAAAATGTCCAGGGATTCCCAGGTGTGGTTGACCCCCAATTTTAGGTAACAATCAAATTAGATATATGAAGACAATTTCGCCGACTTGTAACAAAGCGGAATACAGTTTTCGACCACTTTTTAAGCAATTGTCCGAATTATGTTAGCTTTCAAGTCAAAAGTTGCTGAAAGCGTTATACAAACTTTTTTGATGACCGAGACCCTATAAAGTCGCTTTTTACGCGCATTTGACCAATAGCCGCAAAGGACATTAAATGTTCAATTTTGTCGGAAATAGTTTTTAAACATTAATGCCAATGTAATTTAAAGTTTGAACACAATAAAAAATCACCCTTACGATTAAAATTTCAAAATCTAATAAGATTGAAACTTTAGAACTAAATTAATTTAACTTTTTTAGTATGAAGCCATTCTGTTAAAACAAACTAAACTCTACATACCTACATATGTATGTATAATATATGTTTATAAAAAATCCGAATAAAAAGTTCTTTTATATTTACCTGCATAAATTTTTTAACAAAGATTTTAAAATGTTTGATTTTGACATTTTAGTAAAAAAAACTGCATTCTCCATAACTCTTTCATAATTTGCATTTATTCTATTAATCAAGTTTTAAACTTGTTTGATATTTTGCCAAAACATATAAATTCAAATTCATTTATTTCGAAACATAGATACAATACTTACAAATTAGTATATACCAATACCTTACATGTGGACGTTGTTATCAATAAGGAAAAATCCTTATCAATAAGAAATTTCTCTTAGCGACGCGTTTCCCATGACTACCCTAGTGATTGTTTTCCTTAGCCGTTAATCCGTATGCGATTATTAATTTTTAGGGTTCTAGCACATTAGTACATTATAGACCAGGCGGAGAAAGCACAATGTCATATTATCGCCGAGCATGCATTTCACTGCCTAGGCAGTAGATTATGTGAGAGGCAATTAATATAAGCTTTTTCCGCCGAGTTCAATAATAATTTGAATTTTGAACTAGTATTAATATAAAGTCTTTCTATATAGGCTTATAAGTCTTAATAATAATATGAAAATTATTGTACGCTTGAAAACAAAATATTTTGTAATACCTACAGAAACATTCATATAAATAAAGATGCCATCTTATAAGTCTTAATAATAATATGAAAATTATTGTTCCCTTGAAAACAAAATATTTTGTAACACCTACAGAAACATTCATATAAATAAAAATGCCATCTGAATAGATTTATCATGCTTGAAATGTATTTCTTATATCAAACAAGTAATATGTCAAAAGACATATTATTACAGTAGGTATCTCATGTTTTTATTTCTTGTAAATTTTGGATGAATATGAATATGAATATATTCATTAGGGATGCACCGGATCGGGTATTTTGCCGATCCGGCCGGAACCGGAATTTCGGCCGCTGGCCGGACCGGATCGCCGGAATTCCGGCCGGATCGGGACCTAAATTTAAAATGTATGTGCATGCCTATTTTTATACGTAAAACATTGAAAATATTTAGGCTGATTTATTTTTACTTTTTTTAAAACTAACTACAGTATGCAGAGTGTTTATTACTATTCATTTTACCTAGATAGAAATTACTGTTTATTTAAAAATTAATTTTTAATTAGCGTTAACAAATTCTACTCATTCAATTGGAGAATAGCAGCCACCTGCCAATAATAAAAAAATTAAAAAGAAGTCGGAGAACCACAGCCGCCGGTCTATCATAGACAAGGAAACACGCACACCCTTCACTGTTGACCAATTATAAAATATATCTGGTCGAAAGTCGGGGCATCCCAGACGCGAAAGTCGGGGAATCACAGACGCGAAAGTCGGGAAATCCCAGACGCCTGCTAATCATAAGCAAAGGCACAGGGCTGCAGGTCATTTCATTATTCATTTAAAATAATTTTCTTTATTTTTGCATATATTTGAATTTAAATTATATTAAAAATTTAAAACTTAAACATTTCTAAAAAGTTCCGAAAATTACGGCCGGAAAGCGATCCGGCCGGAGCGATCCGGCCGGAACGGTAGTTCCGGCCAACTGGCCGGATCGGCCGGATTTAGTGGTACCGCCGGAATTCCGGTGCATCCCTAATATTCATTATATTATAATATATTCATTATATTCAAATTTATTTGGTTCTTTACTAAAATATATATTTTTTAAATAGTTATAAATATTTTATTAAAATTTTCGGATTTAAAGTGAATATACATACCTACTTAATAGTAATAGTAAACGAGTTGTAGACTACTTTTTCTACGACAAATACTTATTATTATCTAAAGCGACATCTATAAAAAAAATAGAGGAATTCGCCGGTCAAAATGTCAAATTTTGAATGTGTAAATCGAAATTTATCCCTTGAAAATGAACTAATTACCGTTACAATTTGATATAGAAGCAGTTTTTCACAGTGAAAGTAAAGAGAATGTTTTATGGGCAATTCATGGTGGAGTCTCCACCCGAAATTTTTAATGCTTTATTAGTTAAATATAGTTTACCGCCGGCGAAATCAAAAGATCAGAACACACTTGCATATAAACTTTTGAAAAGGTATTGGCGTTGATAAACTATTTTGTATTATTATTATTGTCATTATTATTTCACAAA